CGCAGCATATGTACATCTGAAGCATGCCGAAGTTTCCAAGTTCACTCGAAATCTTTCACCTGGAAGCAGGGCAATTCTGCTATCAGGGCCAGCTGGTATGGGATCTTTCTATTTCTTAAAGTTATTTTATGTTTTGTTATGTTGTTACCTTATGATAAATGTTTGATTTTCTATTTACTTCTCTTGCAGAACTCTACCAGCAATTGCTTGCTAAAGCGTTGGCAAACTACTTCGATGCTAAGTTGTTGCTGTTGGATGTTGCTGACTTCTCCATGAAGGTGACTATCCCTTAGCTAGATTGAATAGACCTGTTAATAAATTGTTGAATTTGCACTAATGTTCATTTGATATTGGTTCTTGCAGATGCAGAACAAGTATGGCTGCAACAAAAAGGAACATGTAAGCTCTCCCTTCACAATTACAAATTCTAGTCCTTTAGGTTCTGTATACCGTGTCAGCTAATCTGCACATGCGATATGCTTTTCTTAAAGGGATTTGAAAGATGCCAAGCTTCTTTCAAATAGCATTATTGAGGCAGAATTGATCTTTCAGATTTTTTGTTTGACTTGTGTTTTTGCTGATTCACTTGATATTTATGCAAGAGAAATAGTTTACTGTATAATAAAAGAAAGTTTCCATGATTATCTTTGCTCACCTTGTCGTTTTTTTTCTTTGCTTTAGCGAGTTTCAAGGTCCATATCAGAAGCAACATTGGGGCGTATGTCCAGCATGCTAGGCTCCTTCTCTATTCTTCCTCCAAGGGATGTGCCTAAAGGTATATAGCTTCAGTTATCCTTTTTAGATATCATTTGTGAGTTCGAAGGATAGTAGCTAACTTATAATTTTACATTTGTCAACCAATACAAAGTATATGCTTTGGCATACCAGTATTTTTTGCTACCTTCTTGGCTTTCTTTTCAGTAGTTCTCATGATTGTTTCTTTCAGGCTCATTGCGTAGACAAGCTAGCACTACAGATGTCATCAAATCCGGGTATAATACCTTTGACGTTGTTGTTGGATTATTAAAGAGTGTACAGCTATTTTATTTTAGTATGTTAGTTCTGAGCTTATACTTTTGTGTAGGTCTGGAGACGGTGCTAGTTTCCCTCCCAAGCATCGTAGAAATGCCTCAGCATCAACTGATATGAGTAGCCTTGCTTCTCAATCCTCTTCAGCAAACTCAGGTCTTGTCTTTATATCAATCTTCTGCTAGCAAATTCTAAACACAAAAGAAAAACCTAGAAACGTTTTTCAGCAAGATAACTTTGATTTGGCTTGATCCTGTTTTATTCAGTTTGCACATAATAGTGTTTAATATGAATTGAATTTTGAATTTGTATTCTTAATCTGATTGGTGGTTCTTTTGATTAATTTTGGCTTCAGTAAAGCGCCCAACAGCTTGGTCATTTGATGAGAAGCTGTTTCTACAAGCACTTTACAAGGTGAGTATTAGAATTTCAGTGCTTTCTTTCTCATCAGTCCTTATTAAGATAATACTCTTTTCGAACTCTGTAGTCGTTATAGAGTTTGAACTACGGACAATTAAACTTAGAAATGTCACATTTGATCTGCAGGTGTTGGTCTCTACATCGGAAAAGAGTCCCATCATATTGTACGTCAGGGACATTGAAAGACTGCTGCTTCAGTCAGACAGGCTATACAATTTGTTTGACAAATTGTTGAGCAAGTTGAGTGGTTCAATCTTGGTGCTTGGTTCTCGTATGTTAGATGCTAACACTGAGTACGAGCAAGCGGATGATAGGCTTACCTTATTGTTCCCCTACAATATTGACATAAGGCCTCCAGTAGATGAGACGAATTTGGTTAACTGGAACTCCCAACTAGAGGAGGACATGAAGACGATCCAGTTTCAGGATAACAGGAACCACATTGCTGAGGTTCTTGCAGCTAATGATCTTGTTTGTGATGATCTAGGTTCTATCTGCCATGCAGACACTTTGACCCTTAGCGATCATATCGATGAAATTGTAATGTCTGCAATATCCTTCCATTTGATGAATAACAAGGAGCCAGAGTACCGAAATGGGAAGCTGGTCATATCTTCTGGCAGCTTGTCCCACGGGTTGAGTTTATTCCAGGAAGGCAAAAAAATGGGCAGAGCCAAGATGGAAACAAATGGTGAAACCGGAAAGGTTTGTCCTCTTAAATTGATACTGTAATAAATACAGGTTTTTGAACATACTAGGACAGCTGAAGTGTACTTCACATGCTTACGTTCATTTTTTTGGATGAAATTTTCAGGCAGTGGATGATAATGCTGCGGCGAAGCCAGAGGGGAAGAATGAAACCTCTACTGGTGAAAGCAAAGGCGAATCAGTCACTCTGACAAAGAATGCTGAGAATCCTCCCCCTGTGAAGGTAAATCATATCTGATGTTTTTTTCAAAATTGACATGACATAAGATCCATCATTAGATTAATTTACCATTGTCTACTGAAAATGTGATCATATTGAACAGGAAGTGGCTCCGGACAATGAATTTGAGAAGCGAATAAGGCCAGAGGTCATTCCTGCAAAAGAGATAGGAGTATCTTTCAATGACATTGGATCCCTGGATGAGATTAAAGAGTCACTTCAGGAGCTAGTGATGCTTCCCTTGAGAAGGCCAGACCTATTCAAAGGCGGCCTTTTGAAGCCTTGCAGAGGTGTGCTGCTCTTTGGTCCTCCTGGTACTGGTAAAACTATGTTGGCCAAGGCCATTGCCAATGAAGCCGGGGCTAGCTTCATCAATGTGTCAATGTCCACCATCACATCAAAATGGTTTGGTGAAGATGAAAAGAACGTCCGAGCACTGTTCACACTTGCAGCCAAAGTTTCTCCCACCATTATCTTTGTTGATGAGGTTGACAGTATGCTTGGGCAAAGAACTAGAGTTGGGGAGCATGAGGCTATGAGGAAAATCAAGAACGAGTTTATGTCACATTGGGATGGACTTATGACTAAACCTGGGGAGCAGATTCTTGTTCTTGCTGCTACTAACAGGCCATTTGACCTTGATGAAGCCATTATTAGGCGATTTGAGCGCAGGTTTGTTCACTGTTTTCAATCATGCAATTGTTCTCTATATGCAGCATTCTTCGATATTGTTATTTGTAGTTGCAAATTTCCATGACTAACTCTCAAATCTTTTCATCACAGGATCATGGTGGGTTTGCCAAGCATTGAGAATAGAGAGAAGATCTTAACAACTCTTCTGTCTAAAGAGAAAGCCGAAAATTTGGACTTCCATGAGCTTGCTACCATGACTGAAGGATACACCGGAAGTGATCTTAAGGTATTTAATCCTCTCAATAGCTTAAATAAATTGTATTATGCTATGATTAATGCTTTCTTATAATTTAACCTTCTGTTACGTCTTTCCAATAGAACCTTTGTATCACTGCTGCATACCGTCCTGTTCGTGAGCTGATCCAGAGGGAGAGGCAAAAGGATTTGGTTAGTGATTTCTTTTGATGCTTCCTTTTTTTCTGGGGGCTGATTTAGGGGAGGTTAACTTCTTGTGGTGCTTTTATCGCCTTTTATCCTAATTTCAACCACGATCTTACAGGCAAAGAAGAAGAAAGCCCAAGAAAATAATAATGAGTCTGCTGAAGCTTCATCTGAGACAAAAGAAGAAGAGAAGGAGGCTGAGACCGCCGAGCCAATAATTTTGAGGCCTATAAACATGGAGGATTTGAGGCAAGCAAAGAATCAGGTAATAAATTGTAATATTCAAGAGTATTGACACTCATAGATATGATCTTAACTCTTAGCATATGAAATTCAAAACTTATTTCAGACATTAAATCTAGTGTGATTAAATCTTAAAACTTTGCATGTTTTTGCACTGCAGGTTTCTGCTAGTTTTGCTTCAGAGGGTGCAGTAATGAATGAATTGAAGCAGTGGAACGAGCTGTATGGAGAAGGCGGTTCAAGAAAGAAGGAGCAGCTTACTTACTTCTTATAGAAAGGTTGTCCATCACAAATTCAGCAACATAATTTCAGGCTTTTCTATGAAGCTCTAAGTGAAGTCCGAGGACATTTTATAGCGAAGGAATTTACTTGAAACCTCCATTGCCGGAGTCCTCTTAGGAAATGACATTACGGGACAGAAGGAAGCATTCCATGTAATCTGTATTTCTTGTTGGCACGTTTAGTGGGCGAGTTTGAAAAGCGAGTTTTAGAAATAGGTGCACTGTGAGCTTACATATCTACTTACCATATTCAATATTATGAGTTTGCTCATGTTGTAAGCCTATGCAATGTAGTATGTAATTAGATTTCTAGAAAATGAACAAACTATTATATTTTTTCTGTCACTGTGGGTGTCATTTATGTACCACCATTTGTACTATATGTCTTATTTAACTTACAATTAGTACTTGTTCTGTCTCTACTACTTGATTTTAGAGACTAAATGCCTAATGCTTTATACAAGTTGGTTTGCAAACTTCTTCTGTTCTTAAAACGAAGCACAAACGTGTGATCATAGCAATATAACATATCAAAATATGAATACAAAACTATTAAGTTTGATCATGGACATCTATTTGGGAGATGTGAAATCAAAAGAGATTAATTGATAAATGTTCTTTTTGAATGAAATTGAGGGAATAGCTTGATTAGAATTCATGAATTGGGCACCTCTGGTGTATGATAGTAGTAGGAGATAGGCGATGGTGATGGAGTGTAACTATGTTGTGACTACTGTCCATGTAAGGCTTTTGTATTGACGACAACATAAATACACTAAGATTGAAAGGTGTGTGCATTGGGTTGGGTCGTCTTATTAAAGTTGTGCTTAACTTGTCGAATGAGTCATGACTCTCACAATCTCACTTTGAACTTTTCCCATTGAAAAGGTTGGTGTTGTGATTTTCAAAATTGAGGAATGATACACAAAATTTCAAGCCCTCATCAGACATAATTCAATCAAAAAGTACAATCATTTGCCCGTTTTTGCAAATGAACATAACGGTTACGCTCATTTGTGCAAATGACTGAAATGAGCAAATTGGTTTCGTTCATTACCACATATTTGCTCATTCTATACAAGCTAGAAAAATTAAGCAAATTGCGCTAAACAATATTGCTCATTATTTTTTGTTTTTAATATCAAAAAAATAATAATTGCCCAAAATTTTTGGTTTTTTTTACTCTAGATATTGGTCATACTGCCACTTTGCCAGTTTTGTTTACACTTTTTTTGCTCTTCTCCGGTTCTCCCCCCTTCCTTTGGGTGGAAAGTGGCAAGGGTAGAACCAAACACCCACCTCAACCACCACCGCCAAAATCACTGGAAATTTCCCACCATTATTCATTATTCTCCAATTTTTCTCCTCCTAAAAATTCCTTTCAATGGAAAATCTATTAAATTCAAAGACTAACATGATCCCTAATCTCTGCTTTCTGTAAAAAGTTTTGATTTTGATCTTTACCCATCAAATTACCAACACCAAAAATGTCGGTAGCATTACAAAGATACCTAAAATTGGAATTGCGAAAATCACTTACTCTCTCTTACCGCTACCCAATGGCTTGCACAGAGCTTGGTGTTATTCTTCGATCAGCTTACTCCAAATCCCCTAAACCCCTTCAATCTCTTCTTCTTGAAGATACAATCGCCGCTTTTCGCCTCCTTCCTCAGTAATTTCCTTCTCCTTTTTTTTTATTAATTTTAATTTCTATTATGTTGATTTAATTGCTATAGGCATTGATTTTGATTTATAAACTATGGTTTAATTTTTATGAATGTATAAAGTTTTAAATTTTGATTGAATTCCTGCTTTCGGTATATAAACTGGGTTGTTAGTAAATTGAATTGGGTTTATTTGACTTTATCTTATAATCTATGGTTTTGTATGTGATTGATTGGCTGCCCTTTTTATACACTGGATTTCCAGTGAATTGAACTGGGTTTAATTAATTTTGTTGTAAGTGATTTGCTTGATGTTGTGGGTTTTATTCATTGTTGCATTTTCCTTAACCTTATTAGTCTTTTTTTTATGGAATTATAAAGTTTAGATTTAATTTTTTTAGTGTATTGATTGTTCACTGAATATAAGGTGCTTGTGAAATAATTACTGATGGTTGTAAATTCAAATGATGATTTCATGGATTACACAACTTGATGGTTAGACACGGATTAGTGAGATTACATACAGAACATTTTGGTTTCTTGATGATATGAATTTGCATAAAGTCTGGCACTGTTCTGTGCATCCTGATGAGCTGAAGTCCTTCAATAACTTTAAGTTGTGTACTAGAATGCAGACACAAAGTGCTGTTTCAGCAGCTAACCTTCTCAGCCAATGTGCGGAGGCTGCTTTGCCAAAGCAGAAACGAAGTATAGCAGCGACAGAGTTCAAGCAGGCAAAGGTTGCTTACAAGAGACGTGCCAAAACTCAGCTGGAAGAAAAAGGTAGCATTTGCTGAGATCAAATGTCTAAAATAGACATTAAAGCATTTAGAATTCTGCTATGAAAGGATCTAGGAACCCTTTCAGTTGGTCAATGTGTCCTTAAATTGTTGTTAAGTTTCAGTAAGCACATAACTTAGCCTGCAGTGGCAAGGTTGATGAATGATGACAACACTTGAGCTTAAATCTCATCCTTTATCAAGAAGAGGAAAAAATTAGTCTATCGCTGTAATTAATCCAAATGCTATCTCAATAAGTGTAAAATTTGTTTTGCTGATAGTATGCTAACACAACCACCAAGAAGTTATAGGAAGGAATCAAACTATTAGATATTTGGTTTATTTTCTAGGCACTCTTTTTTTATATCATGGGAGTACTGTGATCCTAACACACAAGGACACAAGATTGTAAGGACTTGGGATTGTAAGATTAATTTTACTGTGACCTATTTTTAAGTGTAAGTCGTATAAACTACGAGTATGAAACAAGATGTTTTATATCTTTGGTCTCTTGTCATTATTTATGTACTATAATTTTGAACAGTTATATTGATGACAAAAATGACCTGCTTTCAGATCCTGTTCAATTGCCTCAAGATGTTCTTGTACATCTCTTCAATTTCCTGGACCTGCCGTCTTTAGTATCTGCTGGTATGGTGTGCCGGTAATATGCCTTGCCATGCTCTATATTTTTAATGCTATGCAGTTACCATCGATTTTTGGAAAATCCAAACGATATGATGGAATTTTTATTTATGTATTTGAGTAATATCATATTGTTTGCTTCATGTAACTTTAGTCTTCAAAATGTTGTACAACTCTTGAATATCATAATAGGACTTGTTCATGGTTGTTTCTGAAGGTCATGGAATGCAGCAGCAACTGACAATTATCTTTGGCAGCTCCATTATAACTGCCATTTTGGTGACTCCCAGAGTATTTTGAAAGTTGAGGGGCTTCAAGGTGGTGTTACTGCTGAAGAACGGCAACATACAGCTTCAAATGGTGTTTTTAAAGATGCAAACTATGACTGGAAAGATGCTTTTAGAAGAGCATACTCGGGTACGTATATAATACGTAGCATTTGTATATTAATATGCTTTCATTCTCCCTCCTCTAAAGTTCATCCTTTTATTGACTTTATTGGGAGAATCACCGTTCTTCCAGACGGGAAGAACTCTTAGAGACGAAGGGAGTTAATATTGCTTAGGAATATCCTGTTGGCATTGTTGTACTTTAACTTTGACACTTCCTTTTTAGTAATTCTTACGTCCCATAGAAAATGCCCACCTTTTTATTGGGATGTCCCCTAAATTCTAGTAGTCCAAAGGTGCCTACATTTATTTTTCCTCTAAAAGACATTACTTTAAGTCAAGATTTGTTGTTCGTTCAAAAAACATACTGAGTACTATTTTAAAAACCAAGGTGATGACACTTTTGACACAACACAGAGAAATCAAAGGGAGGGGTAGTCTGGTTGCCTCAATTTTTTGTACTGTCAATTCGGTATGCCTTTTCAGTAGACTGCTTTGTCAAGCCAGTTTTCTCCTTACATTGCCGACAATATGCAATGTGGAGGTGATAGTCGACACCTCTTCCGAGTCGTCTATCTGGCTTTCATTGATGTGTTTTTATCTACTGCCAGGCCTTCCATCGTGGAGATACAAGTATAACAGAGGATACTGTTGTCACTGCAGTTCAATTGTTTGGCTTAGCAACTTGAAATGCCCAAAGAAACACTTGGGTCAACAGCAGCTGAGGCCCGTGTCGCCTGGCCAGGTCACTTTCTCACCCTTTCTAAAAGATCTAGTTATCGACTTAATAGTTGTCTTATATACTTGGTTGCACACTTGCACCGTTGCATTATTTAAAGGTCAGCTGTATACTGTATCTCCTGCCATCTCAATAGAAAACTCCATAGCCTTTGCTGGCCTCCAATTGCTGCTGATTGCCTCAATTTGACACAAGTACATGGTCTTGACTTTTTTTGTCCCCTCACTGCAGATTGTTACATACATTTTTGATGGTAAGAAGATTTGGTTGTTGATGCACAATAGCGATAGCGAATCAGATGAAGATGAAGATCCTGGTCACAAGTTCTAGGTATATATCAGGCATTAGTTCACCGAGGACGCTTGATTAAAAGAACCAAGCATGCCGAAAAACTATGACGATGTCTCTCTGAGACTAGCTTCTTTGTTATGTCTCCAATATATGCTGTATAGAAATCGGTAGGGTATATTGGTTGTATAACAACAATGAATCTGAAATAAAATACGAATACTATTCTGATTTCTTACGAATTCTCTGTTGGAGAGTGATTTCTAGTTTTCTACACTCAGAATATATTTTTGCACCCCTATTTGATAGTGGCTGGACGTCTAAAGTCCTCAAATCCAGTGTTAAAAAGTTCGCTCTCTTGAGCAGGAGAGTCAGAAAACCACCTTCAAGGCCGAACTAATTGTGGCCATGCCACTCCGGAAGTGTCTTCCTCAAACGAATTTTAAAGCTCCATAAGGGGTGTGTAAAGAGCAGTGACACTATCAATCTGTTCCACGCTTCTATTAGAGAGTCAATCTGTGCTTTATTTGCATGACTAACTTCCCACTCCAGTTCCTTGATCGCCTTGCTGCAGTGTGGGTGCACTACCCACCATGCTCAATGACATGCTTCAAGTTATGAATGCCAACCTTGTCTGCACATCTTCCTAATCCCTACTTCTCATGTAAAGTCAAGGCCCTTAGCCATTGCCATAACTCTGCGCGGAAGGACAAGAAACACCAAAGTGTTACTGTGAGAATTACCAAATTTTGTGAAAGGGAAAATGAGACCAAGTCATAGAAGTAGAAATGCAAACACCGTCTGATGGTCACCAACCATTATATTGGTCGGTTGCATGCAGTGGCGGACCCAGGAATTTCCGACTGGTGAGTCACAATCGATAATCAAGTATCTAAAAAAAAAAATTTACCGAACAACCAAATAATAGTACTAAAAAATACATCCAAATATTCAAAACAGTACAAAATACAACCAAATGTATGTGGAAGATTAGCAAATTCATGTTCACAATCGATAATCAAGTATCCTCTTTCCTGGATCTTGTGGAAGATTAGCAAATTCATGTTCACTTAATCTTTCACCAAAGATTGGGGCATTAGGAGAACATTGGCCTTGTTCATTTTGAGGGGAATTTTGAGTGGAATAATTAGATGGAGATGAATGTTGTTCACTTTCTTGAGGTGGACATATAGTTTGTTCACTCTGTTGAGGTGGAGATATAGTTTGTTCATTTTGTGTGGGATGTGGAAGAGAAGTTGAAGTAGGATTCTTTTTAGCAAAGAAGCTAGTAATGTTTTGCAGTTCATTTGGAGTGCGTTTTCTCTTCATTCTGAAATTTGAATAAATAATCAACTAAAGCAAGCAAAATTCCCCAGAAAAATTATTTACAAAGATCATTTTACCAAACAAACCACAATTCACATAATCACATATTCACATGGTCAAAAAGGTTCAAACTTCATCTAAAACCCAACAACATTATTACATTAAGGTCATTACTCATTAACAAAAGGTTCAAAGTTTACCAAACAAACAAGTGATTGAAGACTTGAAGTGAACAACTAACAAATCAACCAAAGTTTAATAGAATTAACTAATTAGACTTGATTAAATTGAAGATTAGAATTTTAAACTAAAAATTAGAAATCAACTTACTAGCAAAATGAGAATAGGAGATTAGACTTTAGAAGAAGCGACGAAGCGAAGAGCGGTGAGCGCAGAGCACGCTCTCGACTCTCGAGCAGTGGAGCAGGGCAGCAGGCGACTGCCGACTAGGCGAGCAGCAGGCCAGCAGGCAGTATCACAGCTTGAACAATTAACAAATTCACCATTTCACAGCTTGAAATCACAAGCTCACAGGGCAGCAGGCCAGCATCACAGCATCACAGCTTGAACAAGTATGTAAAGTGTCAATTGTCAAACATTTCACAAATTCACCATTCAGAATTTCATTGAACAATTCACAAAATCACAACAATTAGGGATTATTGAAATTGAGTTGATTATTGAACAATTGAGTTGATTATTGAACAATTAGGGATTTAGGGTTCAAAGAATCAAATTTAGTATTACTAATTCATAACTAACAAGTAATATCAATTATCAACAATTAAACAAATTTAGATGAAGACTAAGTTAATTAATTAATTTATGCGAAGAGGAACTGAGGAAGACGAAGAGGAACTAAAGTGTCAAACATTTCACAAATTCACCATTCAGAATTTCATTGAACAATTCACAAAATCACAACAATATATAACAAAATTAACAATTAACAATAATCAGTACTCAGTAGGCGTCTAGGCAGCGTCTAGGGCCACTGGGCGTCTAGCGATTAGCGAAGCAATCAAGCAATTATCAAGACAATCAAGTTATCAAGTTATCAACAATTAAACAAATTTAGATGAAGACTAACTGAGGAAGACGAAGAGGAAGACTAACCTCACCTGAATTTATGCGAAGAGGAAGACGAAGGGTCGAAGGCACGAACTGCGAGTCTGCGAAGAGGAACTGACTAACTGAGGAGTGAGGAAGATGCTTACTTGCGAAGTTGCGAGTTGCGAACTGCGAAGAGGAGGACTGGAGGAGGCGATTATGGAGGTGAATAGGTGATTGATGATGGCGAAGGATTGAAGCCTTGAAGGGAATTAGGGAAGAGGCGAATTGGCTAGGGCATGAAGGATTGAAGGCCATGAACTGAAATACTGAATTCGTGAATTTGGGAAAACTGATTTTTTTTTTTTTTTTTTTTTTTTTTTTTTAAATTAACTTAAAATTTTTTTTTGGGCCTGGTGAGTCACTTGACCCACCAGGTCTAAGCCCAAGTCCGCCACTGGTTGCATGTAAAAGTTACACTTTCCTTGAATTTGCAATTCCCATGGAGTTTCACTTTCTCTATTTCCCTCACTTTGTGGGATGTATAACTTTTTATACTACTGTCACCCGAAATATTTCTTATACTCTTCATACATTGTCAATCAAACAAACACCATTTTAGTAAATGTAACATTATCAAAGTTTCAAAGAGACCAATACAAAGACGTCAAATAACTGACTGTTTTGGAAAATTGCAGAAATTTTCTAGGATTACATCATTTTTTCAAAGAAAATACTTCTGTAAGATTATAGTGGACGAACAGACTTATCTAGGATTATATCATAGATAACCATGGCTTTATTTCGCTTCACGTAAGTGACTTGAGAAAATTAGCAGGAGTGTAAAGAGTGCCAAGTTAGATGCAAAATATGGATCCCGTTCTTCAATCCCTTATGCTGGGTATTCTCCCTAATAAAAGAGGGGTTTTTTCTGAAAGAACACAAATGTTAATTTTAAATCTATTTTTTGACCAACTAATAAATCTGATAGTTTATTCTAACAAAATCAAAAAATTTACTAGATATTTATTCACCAACATTGCTCCTTAAATCCTGCTCATGTAGGAGGATTAAAGGAGAGACAGAAAGCAAGGCATAATCGAGGGTATGAAAGTACAAAATTACATTATTGTTCATCTACTTCATCCTAAAATATTGCAAGGTACTGAACATAATACTAGAAGCTATAGGTGTTTAAACAGAATCCAGGACTAGGAACTATCTTACAAAGCACCTGGGTTCATTTCAAATATGAACTCATACACGTTGAAAAACAATTAACAAGGGGTCCTAAACCACATAAAGAGTTGAAACTTCTACCCAAAAAACAACAGCAGCAGGGCAAATGTCAGCGTGAACCTTGACAGATTCATAGCTAGCTCTAAATTATTTCCTCATGCAGCCTTCTTGTCTTTCAAGGGCCCTCTTGGAATCTTACTCAAGAACTTCTCATCGGCTACAGCATACTGCCTCTTGAGCTCCTTTGATGCCTTCTCAGCAAAAGAATCTACATGGTCCTCATATTTCTCATACAGCACGGGTACGGTGTGCAACAGAACAAACACTGATTCAAATACCAAACACACTCCAGTTAGAGAAATAAGTAAAATGTATATTCATCACTTTACATACATAAAGTTTGTCAAACCAAGCATCTTACATAGGTAAACAAGAGTCAGGAAATTGAACCAACTTCCTACAATTGACAGAACCCACAAGCCTGCTACCACCTGTTAACAAATCAGTTTCATATGTAAACAATAAGCTGTTGGAAAAAGAAATTAGCATTGCTAGAAACCATTAGGAATGGAAAACAAGATTATATCTATGGCATAAATACTCAAAAGCACAAAGAAAATTGTATTCCATAACAACTCCGGAAACTTTTGCAATATTTGTATTAGAGCATGAAATTCCCTGGCAAAAAATGTGGACAAGCCAATTGAGCTGCCAGGTGAGTTAAGTTACTTTGTCAGTTGCTTATGCCATTATTATCCGATTTCACTGAACATCTATATTTAATATCAGATCACATGCACATAAGATTTGATGTGATGAGGAAGAACCATTGTAACCAATTAGAATTAAGAAAAGCTTAAAAAACATACTGCGAGGAATTTTTTAAGCTCTTTCCCAGAGGCAATGTCCCTTAGCAAAGAAAGAGCTCGGTTGATCTCAAATCTTAATACTGAGATAAATTCTCTGAGAGAATTATCGGGAATGTGAACATCGGGAATACTTGGAGGAGCCCTGGCCAACACAAGACAACAAAAGTAAGAAGAAAGATCATAAAAGCAAGGGTGGAAAAGCGCACAAGTACACACTACTTACTTGTTGAGAAATGCAGAAGCTTTTGACCAGAGGAAAAGGACCGTAAGAGTAAATATCAAAATGTGGCAGAGCAGGGTCAGCAAGTGATATTGAAGCAACTCAAAAACAAACCAAACAACAGTAGCTACACCAAGTGCAGAGGCAGAAATCTTCTTGTTCCTCCACAAGAATACATCAGCAGCTGCAGACAAATGTTCAAATCATTCCAAGTTAGAGGCGAAACAAAACTAAACATAGGTGGGAGTAAAAAACTCACAGGAAGTACATGAAAGTAAAGATTCCAGGTTATAGACATCTATAGATTAGAAGAAAGATTGTCAAAACCTTGTCAATCGCTCCGTGGTCTTTGACACATGAAAGTAAAGATCCCAAGTCATAACTATTTTACCAGTCACAAAGGCATTATCCTCCCCTCCAGCCCTTACAATCATATCAACTTACAGCCACACCGAACAAGCACGGAGAATACCCCCCCCCCCTCTCTTCCCAAGGGGAAAAAAGGGCTACCCATCCTAGAGAGTGGAATCAGTCCTTT